CAGTAGTGGTAACTGAGGTAGGCTGTGGACGTCACAAGTAGGGCTGCACCGATTAGTTGAAATAATCGATGACGTCCATATATATTGAGAAATATGTTAAATAAAAATAATAAATAAATGTTTATATGTTTTTATAGTTTTTTTTCTAGAGTGACTTGAATTTTGCATGATTTAGTTCATTTGTTAGATTGTTAACATCTTGCACTATATTTCTTTTACTTGAATTTTATATGCTTTGGTTGAGATTTTATGTTGATGTTAAATCTTTTAAGCTTTTTTTTTGTTAAAGAATTGATTCTAGAGTGCATATTTTGTGTCCATGAAAAAACTATTACAGAAATTACAATATTAAAGAACTGTTCTTGTTAATTTAATGAAAACATTTTAAATATCCAGTGCACTCACATCAGAATAACTTATAGATTTGTTGTTAGAATAATCGATTAATCAAAAAAATAATCGTTAGATTAATCGATTAGAAAATAATCGTTTGGTACAGCACTACTATTTTCATATTTTACATTTATCAACTTTGTCTATGACTATTCTTACTTACATGTAGCCAAACATTGTTTTTTTCCTTCATCTGAGCTGCAGATCACAAATTCAAATCCAGTTCAGATTGAAACCTCTCTCTGTGTTCACATTTAATGCAAACATTTGAATCAGCTTCAGTCCTTCTGAGCCTTGATGTTCAACATTTTTTTCTGCTTTGCATTTTAAAGACAACTGAAACGAAAATAAAGTCGTTAAAAACTGACTGTTTGCAGGCTCAAAATGGAGAGTTAATGTAATGATTTAACAATTAGACAATCACCGGAGACAGTAAAATGCAAGAAAATCTATTCAGCAGCTGCTCCAGAGCTTATTCATTAAGATTTAATCAATAAAAACTAAAAGAGTAAAAATGAGATCTCGTGGTCTTTTTCTTGGCTCATAAAGAAACTCTCACCTCACCCCAAGCCAGTACAGAAACGGACACTTTTTACCTAGTTCCTTATAAAAATTGTTTTATTTTTTAGGCTATCAAACCACAAATACATGGAGGTTAAGAATGAACAGTGAGGTTTCCTGCTTTGTTTGTAGTTTCAAAAAGACCTTGGGAGACATTCAGACTGGCACCAAAGAACGTCCAAAAACTGAACCAAAAACAGCCATAAAAAACATAAAGAGTAAGCACAAAAACAACAACAACAAAAACCACAAATTCTGATATAAAATGTAGTGATATAAAATATAAAAAAAAAACAGGGCCAGCAACAAGCAAGAAGAACACTCAAAAAACAGATAGTAGATTTAATTAAAAAAATAAGTAACTGTTTCAGGTGACTTAATCTTTTTTAATTAAATCCACTGCATCCATCTGAAAACGAAACAGTTGAGGTGACAATAAGTTGATGTAAAACCGTGTAAAACATTTCCAACACGTACAGCAACAGAATATGTTTAATCTGCCTGTTTTGTGTCGTGTTCACTTTGAGTTTCTTGCTCTTTGGTGGAATGAGTGGGGTGGATGTTTGTGCCTGATGGGACTCGTTGTTTCATCATCTCGCCTTTCTAACGACTTCATCGCCCCTTCTGTTAAACGGAACCAAAAAAAAAAAAAAAAAACGAGGGAAGGAAAGCGCAGTCGTCGCAGACAGCAGCAGCTCACTTGTTGTTGAGCAGAGAGCCTGAGTGTTCCCACAGATTTGGGAAACAAAACGAAGTGCAAACACTAAATTTGGCATTGGCAGCTCAGATAAGTTGGGTTGGAACCGATCTGCGTTGGAAACACGTGATGAATCCTTTTTTCTTTTTTGGCTTCGTTTTCTAATGACAGACGGCTCACCAGAAATGGCATCAAGGAGGTGGCAAGTGACGCCTTCAACGGAACAAAGATGTACAGATTGTGAGTCACAGACAGACGCACATTTACACACAAAAAAAACTCTGTTTTTTTGTTTGTTTGTTTGTTTGTTTTTCCCCTATTGAATTTCTCTTGTTCCCACTTCCTTTCAGGCTCCTGAGAGGAAACAAACAGCTATCTCACATCAGCCCCAGGGCTTTTGTAGGTTCCAGTGAGTTGGTGGTACTGTAAGCATGATTCACCCTCATCACAATCGTTTGTTAAGCTCATGGTTTAACAAAAACAAAGATGCGATTTTCTAGTATGACGTTACAAAAATAAGGGCTCAGACGTGTGACTTTTGATCACAAAGTTTTGTTTTTTTTTTTACTTTTTAAATCCTCAAACAAAGAAACACCTCATCAAGCTCAATTATTATTAGGTTGTTGTTGCTTCTTGTCTACCAGACATTAATGTTGCTTCTGTTTAGTTAGTTTTTTTTTCTGGCATTTGATTTGATTTTTATGTATTTTGAATATGTTTTGGTTCAGGGACTTTCATTAACCTAGTTTCCAAAGAAATAAAGGACACCAGATAGATAAACCCAGAATACAATTATTGGAAAATGAATAAGTACAGCAGAAATGAAGCAGATTAATAAAACAGAACTAATAAAAAAAAAAAACAGATTTTTCTGAACGAGCTGAAAACACGGTGTTCAGGTGAAATTAGACAAAATAAAACCAGTAATAAACTAAAATATAAAACTAACTTTTTTTGTTGAATTTTAATATTTTGCAGAGACGTCTCACAAACGGCTGTCAGCTCTCTGCCGGGCTCCGTCCTCGGCGGTCTGAAGAAGCTGGTGGCAGAATCGGCCTATCAGCTGAAGAAACTCCCTCCTGTGCAGGAGTTCACCAGCCTGCGCTCGGCCAACATGACGTACTCGTCGCACTGCTGCGCCTTCGTAAACATGAGCAGAAACAGAAAAAGGTACAGGTGCACCCGAAGGCTCAAAAAACAGGTGTGTTGGAGTTACGTAACCAGGTTATGTCAATGCACGAGTAAGTTTGAAGCAACTTTCGCATTTTCTTTAAAAATAAATGTAAAAGCTGCTTTACACTTACTCAACTCAGCTGAGTGTTAATTGTTGACATAACTTTGTTAAATAAAGCCAACACGTATGTTTTTTAAGTGTATGATGTCATTTAGAGCCTTAACAACTAATATATTTTTTACAATTAAGACTTTTGTTTTCATATCTTTTTTTCTTTGATCTATTTTGCTTTAATACTGTTTAAAATAAATAACTTTATTTACAAATATTTTCAATTTGTTCTTTTATAAATTTCAACAAAGTTATGCAACACCCAGCGTTCACACAATTTCTTACTTTTTTCTGTTGTTTTATATAATATTTGTAATATATTATTATAAACAGAGTTCTACAAAGTACTTGAAAGAAATAAAGTAAAAGTAAAAATACCTTAACAGAAAAATGACTTTGGTACAAATGAATTTCACTGATAATTTACTTAAGTAAAAGTCATAAAACTGTTCACAAAACGAGGAAAGTAAAAGTACTTTTATGTACACTCTAAGAAATGAGGTGTTTAATTTACTTAACCAAATTGGTTCTACTAAACAGAGTTGAGTAAACTGAGCAATTTACATATTTTCCTTTACAAAAAATATGTATATTGCTTCGTATTTACTCTAGTGGAACCAGCTGACATACCTTGGTTGAGTAAATTCAACACTGTAATTTTTTAGAGTGCATAAACAACTCCTTTCATGATGAGTTCAGACATTTAAATTTGTAACTAGGTGTTAAATTCTAAAGTAAAGAAATAAAAGTATGATTTTTAGGTTTCAAATGTAATAAAAAAGCAAAATAACAATTTTAGAAAATACTTGATAAAATTACAAATCCTCAAAAACATATACTTAATTACTGTAAAGAAGTAAATGTACGTATTTACTATAAATCTCTGATTAAAACTGTTAATGATGAAGTGCTTAGGTAATAATGAAGTTATTGCCATAAATGAATTAATTATTTTGCTCACAAGTTCTGCACTTTGTGTGTTACCTGTAGGTGGCACCCTCAGTGTGTCCAGCCCGAGCTGAGGAGCATCCAGGCCTTCAACAAGGAGCACTGTTCCAACTCCACCGACTTCGACTGCACCCCGAAACCCGACAAGTTCAACCCGTGTGAGGACATCATGTCTCCTGTCTACCTGCGGATCCTCATCTGGATCATCTCGGTCCTCGCTCTGCTCGGCAATGCAGTGGTTCTCCTCGTACTGTTGGGTAAAACACTGAAGTCGCACCGTTGTTTTGCCTTCTTTTACCTCGTTCAAAACAGCGTATGAGGGTGTTTTGATCAGTGGATTTTAAATATGGTTTGGCTCTCTGATAAGAAACAAACTTTGCGTCAGACCTTTTGTCACATGTTGGGGTTGAAGACTCAGGCAAGAAGATTAGTTTTAAGGACTAAGAACAGCCATCGTTACAAGAACAAACAGAGCTTGAATAAAAGATGTGACACTTGATGAAAGTAAAAAGGAAAAAAATTGTATAGGTCCTCTGAACGGGTTCTTCTCTAATGAAACGTTTCGTCTCTCTTCCAAGAGACTTCTTCAGTCTGAGAGTTTCAGGCAAAATTCAGGCTTTTGAGTCCTGCCTCCAGGTGACTGATACTCACATCACATGGCTATCGTTCACACCTAATTAATACCTATTGTTAACAGTGGGTGGAGTGATACTGCCAATGGCAGCGCTGTAGGAGGGGGACAGCAGTTCTGGCCATTAGAATTAGCTCATCTGTGTTGGGACATTATTTTGAACGGGTACTTTGTTTCCCCATTCAAAAGAATGTCCCAACACAGACGAGCTAATTCTAATGGCCAGAACTGCTGTCCCCCTCCTACAGCGCTGCCATTGGCAGTAACTCTTCACCCACTGTTAACAATAGGTTACCTTGTTAACAATTAGATGTGAACGATAGCCATGTGATGTGAGTATCAGTCACCTGGAGGCAGGACTCAAAAGCCTGAATTTTGCCTGAAACTCTCAGACTGAAGAAGTCTCTTGGAAGAGAGACGAAACGTTTAATTAAAGAAGAACCCGTCAAGAAGACCTATACAATTTTTTTCCTTTTGATTTTTACCTGGATTACTGAGATGCATCAGGACATTAGCATCATGTAACACCCAATCAATCCTTTTG